TTATCATCTCTTGATGTTAACAGTGCTACTGATACTTTTTGCTTCACTCTTATGTCTTGTTTAGACAGTATCTGCCCCTTGTCTTCCAGGCCAGCTCGTACCACCTCTTCTGCCCCTTGGCTATCTGATGTTCTCTGTGAGCATCGTTCTAAGCTCAGAGCTGCAGAAAGAGTATGACGTAAATCACAAAATCTTACTGACCTTAATGTATATCGATCACTCCTCTCTTCATTCTCTAATAATGTCTCCACTGCTAAAAGAACAGACTATCACAACAAAATTAACAATTTGCCTAACTCTTGCATGCTCTTTAAAACATTTTCCTCCCTCCTTTGTCCTCCTCCTCCCCCTCCTTCATCAACTTTAACAGCTGACGACTTTGCCACATTCTTCAGTAATAAAATAGAAAATCTCAGTGCACAATTTGCCACACCACAAACTGTCAAACACATCTTACCAGCAAACATACACTAGTTTTCATCCTTCCCTCCACTCTCTGAGACAGAAGTCTCTAAAGTCATCCTTTCCAATCATCCTATTACTTGTCCGCTTGATCCTATTCCATCTCATCTCCTTCAAGCCATTTCTCCTGCCGTTGTACCTGCACTCACTCATATCGTTAACACATCCCTTCACACTGGTGTTGTTCCCCCTACATTTAAACAGGCTCATATAACCCCACTTCTTAAGAAACACACTCTTAACCCAACTTTTTAGACTCTTTGGACTCTTTAGACTCTCAACTCTTTTAGAGAACTACAGACCGGTTTCCCTTCTACCTTTCATTGCAAAAACACTTGAACGAGTTGTGTTCAACCAAGTCTCTGCCTTTCTCACACAGAACAACCTCCTGGACAGCAACCAATCTGGCTTCAGTAGTGGACATTCGCCCGAGACTGCATTGCTCTCAGTTGTTGAAGCCCTAAGACTGACAAGAGCGCCTTTCAAATATTCTATACTTATCTTGCTGGATCTGTCCGCTGCTTTTGGTACGGTGAACCACCAGATTCTCCTGTCAACCTTATTGGAAAATGGCATCTCAGGAACCGCACACCAGTGGTTTGAGGCTTACCTCTCAGATAGGTCCTTCAAGGTATCTTGGAGAGGTGAGGTGTCCAAGTCGCAACATCTAGCTACTGGGGTGCCTCAGGGCTCAGTTCTTGGACCACTTCTCTTCTCTGTCTACATGGCATCACTAGGTTCTGTCATTAGGAAACATGGATTTTCATATCACTGCTATGCTGTAACACTCAACTCTACCTCTCATTCCATCCTGATGATCCGACGATAGCTGCTCGCATCTCAGCATGTCTAACAGACATTTCTTGTTGGATGACGGACCATCACCTTCAACTCAACCTGGCTACGACAGAACTGCTTGTGGTTTCAACAAACCCATCACTTTATCAAAATTTCACCATCCAGATAGGCTAATCAACCATAACTTCTTCAAATACAGCTAGAAACCTTGGAGTTGTGATTGATGATAAGCTGAATTTCTCAGACCACATTACTAAAACTGCCCGGTCCTGCAGATTTGCTTTATACAACATTAGGAAGATCAGGCCCTTTCTTTCAGAACATGCAACACAACTCCTTATTCAAGCTCTTGTTCTATACAGGCTGGACTATTGCAATGCTCTCTTGGCAGGTCTTCCATCCACTTCTATAAAACCGTTACAATTAATCCTAAAATCTAAATTCATTACTTCAGAGTTATGTGTCCTCTAGAAGCTTGCGCTCTGCAAAAGAATGAAGCATTATTGTGCCATCTCAAAGAGGCACAAAATCACTTTCACAGACTTTCTCATTAACTGTTCCCTCATGGTGGAATGACCTGCCCAGCTGAGTCCTTAGCCATCTTCAAAAAACGACTAAAAACTCATCTGTTCCATCTTTATTTGACCCTCTAACTCTAGCACTTTCTATTCTATTTTAATTCTACTCTATTTATCTTCTTTTTCAATAAAAAAACACTAGCTTTCTATTTTATATTTGTGTATGTGTATATATATATATATACAGTGGGGGGAAAAAGTATTTAGTCAATAACAAAATTTCATCTCAATACTTTGTTATATACCCTTGTAGGTGACCAAATACTTATTTTACCGAGGAATTTACCAATTAATTCTTTAAAAATCCTACAATGTGATTTTCTGGATTTTTTTTTCTCATTTTGTCTCTCATAGTTGAGGTATATCTATGATGAAAATTACAGGCCTCTCTCATCTTTTTAAGTGGGAGAACTTGCACAATTGGTGGCTGACTAAATACTTTTTTGCCCCACTGTATATATATATATATATATATATATATATTAGGGCTGTCATCGCGTTAACGCATGCAATTCATTTTATAATCCTTAACACGTTAAAATAATTTAACACAATTAACGCAAAATTACTGAATAACAATTTCTATTCTAACCTGTTAACCCAATTTTGCTTCTCTGCTTGTGATTAGATAATTTTAAGATGCTAAACTCCGGGAAAGTTTTCAGTCCAATAATCCAGTAAGCGAATGCATTCAAACAATCCGTCCAAAACAGCATTAATATAATGGAAACCAGGCTGATTACATCAGAGATTGCAGAGAGAACAGAGACTCACGTTGCGTTTTAAGTGAATTATTAATTCCAGTGTGTACAGGCTGAACGGATTGTCAACACATCCCACCGCTGTATTGCCAGATGAGATGCAAACTACGGTTTCTCGACTGGATAACCAGTCTCGCTAGTAAAGTTTTGATGGATGAAAACTGCAATCAAGGTAACGATGATTGCGGTGGCGTACAGAAGTCATACAGTACAGTAAGCACGTGTGAGTCCGTTATAATAATGCATGTATGAGTGCTCTTGACGCACTGATCGCACATTGTATTTATGCACAGCACAGGGACAGACATTTCCGTACATTCACGTTGTTTCCAGACACATTCACGATAATGTTTTGATTTGTCATGTTTATGTTGCTGTGTTTCGTTTAATGGATCCGTGTACTGTAGTAGATATATGCAGTCAACTGTCGGTTGGTCTTCATGTGGTCCTGTTCAGTATCACAACTTGGCTTCTATAAAATGTAAAAAAGCTATTTGCTGTTGTGCTGTACACATACTATAAAATTCAGATTTTTTTTTCTTTCATATGTGCTTATATGGGCTCCTTATATCATTTGGTTATTTGGTGTCCTTTTGGAGTTTATAAGTGTCCTTTTTTGGAAAGACATCTAAATTTATCTTGAAAAAAGCTTGCAGAAAATATAGATTTTGAGAATCACCCTTCAATATTTTGGTTTACTTTGTTGGATATAGCAAATGATGACAAAATAAACATTTGAAACAAGATAAATGGTCTATGCTTAATTTCATGAAGTGTGCGATTAATCACAGAAAAAGGATTTGATTAATAAGATTATTAATTGTAATCGATTGACAGCGCTAATATATATATATATATATATATATATATATATAAAAGCAGCGATAGCTCTTAAATAAATAGCAGCCAAAACATCCAAATAACCAGCTGCTGTGATGTCTATTAATCAATGGACAAAGAAAAAAAGAGGAAAAAAAGAACTTTTATAGCTTTAAGGATTCATCTATAATTAATTTAGAATTTAGTGTTTGATAACTTCAATTTAAATGTCTGTATATACTTGCAGAAGGGCACAGGTAAGCATGACATTTATTATAATGGGTTTATGTGAAGATTATTTTAAGTTCACTTAAATTAGAAGTTATTTTTTAAAGTGTAATAAATGTTTAAATTGATAGTTCTCAATTATACTGTAATGTTGAATGGCTATAGTCAATGGTTAAACATTGGGGGGGGCAATTTTATAGAGAAATCAGTATTGGTATCATTGATACTGGCCTTCAGTCATAAAAAAAGATGCCATTAAACAAATATTAAAAATATATACTGTCGTTATGTTGTTTGTACATTAATTTGAAGATTGAATGTGAAATTATTGCAATATAAAAGTATATTTAAAAACTTTAATGTTAGGTGGGATTAATCGCGATTAATTTCAGAATTTTATTTCTGGTTCAGATTAATTAGTTAATTTTTTTTAATCGATTGACAGCACTAATATATATATATATAACTACAGCTCAGCTGCCGGATTTGATATATCAATATATCAATTATGAACAACCATTTTAATTGTCTTCGGTGGCTATATGTCAGCATGAATATCTCAACCCGGACTTTGCTTTTAATAAGTAAGAGCACAGATCAGATGAGATGATATATAATTGTTTTTGCAATCTAACAACACAAGAGCGCCTTTTGACGCACTGCATGTCAATCAAAGACCTAATCTCCACCCGTTTCCCCAAGGCATGAAACAAAGTGGCTTTTATTTGACAGAGGTTGATTGTGGCGGGCAGCTTTGGGAAAGAACTTGAGTCTGATGGGGCTGATGGCTGATTTATCGTACAGTCTGACAAGCCTATTAGCCCTGCGTCTGTAAATGAAAGAGCTTCGTCAAAGCCTTAATTATGATGCTGGCTGCAGGTGCATTGATTTGTTCTACAAGGTGGAGAGTTCAGAATGATCTGAACATGACGTACACCATACAAACCACAGCTCAGCTGCCGGATTTGATTCTTATGAATATTAGTTTTGCAGGAAGATATAGGTCTCAGGTGAATATATATATATATATATATATATATATATATATATATATATATATATATATATATATAATGTCCTCATTTGTAAGTCACTTTGGATAAAAGCGTCTACTAAATGACAATGTAAATGTAATGTACATTTTTTAATTTAGCAAAAATTTAGGTAGAGGCACTGGTTTCCAATGAGCCTATGTTGCAACATTATGTCACGGTTCATGGGTCCGTGCGGTCTTTTTGCGTCTTGTCATGCGTGTGTGTACGTCATTCATTAATCAGAGCGCGCCAGCTGCAACTCATTTGCACTGCCTTTATATAGGGCTCTATGTTCATTGTGTGTTTGATGGTCCGTTAACTTATGTCCTGTCTCTCTATCAGCTCGGTGTTCTAGTTCTTGTCCAGCCTGTCTTGGATCGTTCCGCAATCCTCGGATTCCTGCACTGGATCGGAGATCCCTCACTGTCACTAGAGCATGCTGTCTGATGTCCGCTGAGGCTCATGATTGCGGTCTTTTCCAGCTGTTCTCTCTGGTTATTGTTTCTCAGTAAACCTCGTTGCACTCGCACTTGGATCTCGAGACTCCTCATTGTGACACATTAGGTATTTAGGTACAATACAAGATACAAAATAATCAAAGAGGTTCAAACTGCTTTTTCTTTTTTTTCACAGCATTGTAACCCCAAAATCGGAGGGGGCTAAAAGGAAAGGGATGTTGTTCCAGGAATATGTTCTACTTGTGCAAATCACATTAAGCCCAAAGCACACCCGGAACACATCTGCACATGGTTAGCTGCTAAACACTGTGTTGTAGCAAAGAAACACAAACATATGTAAAGACCAAATAAATTGAAATGCTAAATGAAATGCTATACCTCGTTCACAGATGTGAATGTAAAAAATAACACAGTGGAAAGAGAAAACTAGCAAACATACCCTTGACAACATTGTTCTTCTCCCACATTGTCTATTCTGTCAGGCTTGGCCAAAATATGTTTTCTTTCTTCACCTACTTCATGAGCACACCAACAAACTTCCAATTGAAGAAAGAGAGGCAGAAGAACACCATCAATAAATCTAAAGACAGCTGATACTGAAATGTTTCAGAGATGCCCCCCCCCCCTCACTTCTCTTCTTCATAATTATTTTTCAATTCGTCCACTTGGTGTTTCTTTCTTTATTCTTTTATTTTGCCCTCTCTCTCCTGTCAGGGGAAAGATGGATTTTCTGGGTTGAGAAATAAAAGCCAGGAGACTCTAATTATATGGCAGCTGGGCACAATGGGTGTACGTTTAGCACACTTGTGTGAACCAGGTGGTCATTTTTGATTTTCATCTGCCCTGACCACCATCATTCACGGTCATTAACACACTGCATTCTGGGATATGGAAGAGTCAATCAAGTGTAGACCTTGATAGATCTTAGCTTTGGGACTGAAGAAACTTACACTATGTTACCAGTTGGGTGACATAATGCAAACGTCTGTAACACTTTATAATAACTTTCATTAATAAATCATTAACAAACATTATGTAATGCTTAATGGATCATTAGTTCATATATATTCACATATCTAGAAATGTGAAATAATGTGCTTGCTAATGTTTACTAATAAATGCATTAAACATTACCTAATAAATAACATTTCATGTCAATTAAAATGCTTACAAATATCATTAAACTTCTAATTCATAGAAGAAATCTACAAATATTTTAACAGATGTTATACAATGATTAAAAGCTTTTGTTAATGCACAACACATTTGCTGCTATTGAGGTGTGATACAGGTAAGGTTATGGACAGGTTTGGTGGTATGGGTAGGTTTAAGGTTGGGTAAGGTGTCAACAAGTGTACAGGGGTCAATTTGATTACTATAAGGAAACACAATTCAGTCTGTTATATTGCATTGTTTTGATAAATGTAGTATTTTCTTGAAAATGTGTTCCCCCCCCCCTCCTGTTGATGTATTGATCAATGAATAGTCTGTTTAATGATACACAATAGTATAGTAATATAAGTGTTGAGGTGATAAAAACCCAAATTACATTGTGTGATATGTCTTTACCAAGCATTTAGCTAAACTTAACTAACCACCCTTTACACAAACATTGTTAAAGTAGCTACAAGTCCAATGCCAATAAAGATACTAAAAAAAGTGACGAATTCAATCAAATGATGAATAGTCTCCACTTTAGATTGGGTACTGCAAAAACATGAACAAATGATTAATAAATGATTTGTAAAGATGTGAAAATAGGGTGAATTCCAGTCATTTTGAATACTTTTTGCCATCAAAATGACTGCTCATAAAGGTAATAATAATTAGTAAATGTTTATAAACATTTACAATTGATGAATAGTTTCTACTTTAGACTGGGTACTGTCTGGTTTGTTAAAGATTTATTAATGGAAATAAAATCATTGTAAACCATCTGTCAAAATCATTTGAAGATTTTTTTTAAAAATCCATTATCATATGAATTGAAAGTTTAATGACATTTGTAAACATTTCGATATTCATTAAATAGTGATCTGTTAATCATTTGGTAACGTTTAATAAGTTCATTAGTTAACATTACCAAGCACATAATCTCATTGTTACAGAACTGACGAGACGTGAGACGTGCGGATCCATCTGCAAGGCTTTATTGTGGAGAAGACAGAGACGTGGTCATGAAGCAGGCAGGGTTAAACAGAGGCAGACAGGTATATGGTGGGCAAGACACAAGAACAGTCCTAGGGCTAGCGTGGGTCGACGATGGGCAGACAGAGTCAGAAGGGGCAAGACTAAGGGAGAAATCCAGGAAACCAGGCGAAGATCAGAAACCGGGAAAACAGCTAGGCTAGGGCTA